GTCTGTAAAGTAACTAAAGGTACTTAATAAATGTAGTGGAGAAAAAGTAAACGATTTACCTCTGAATTGTAGTGGAGTAGAAGTACAAGGTAGCATAAAATGGAAATACTCAAGTAAAGTATCTCAAAATTAAGTGTAAGAGTAAATGTACTTTGTTACTTTACACCACTGGTTACTCGATATTCACAGGATATCATCAGGAACAGCTTGTGAACTGCCTTGACGAATAAAATAAGAATCAGAAGCCGGTTTATTGCCAAAAAGGGTTACAAATACAGGAATTTGATTCGGAGCATATAGTGCATACATAAACAAACTTAAAGGGGACATATTAAGCTTATTTCAGGTTCACATGTGTATTTAGTTCCTCTACGGTGACGTGTCTCCATGCTTTAATGTTCAGAAAGCTCTTTATTGTTCTCATACTGCCTGTGCTGCAGCACCTCTTTTCACCCTCTGTCTGAAACCAGAGCCCAGTCTGCTCTGATTGGTTAACTGGCCGGCTCTGTTGTGATTGGTAAACTGCTTAGAGATGTCCCGCCCGTTAGCCTATCACGTACAATGTGTTGGAGCACTAGCCAATAGAAGCATGGGTGTTAAGTAGTGGTGTTGCTACGTCGCAGAGGCTGTAGAAAAAAGGGAACATACTATAAAGGACAATTTGAAAGGCTTTTTTCAAAACTATTACAGCATTTAAGACATATAAAATAAACGGAATATAAATATACGAAAATTAAGTACATTATGAAAATGACTATTTACTCTGAAAGTAAAGCAATATGTGCAGTATATCAGAATTTAAAGTGGCAGAGCGGTGCAGTTATATAACAGGTAGCATTGAACAGAATTGTGAAAAACATAGAGGAATGTGCAATAACAGTATGACATATGAGAAATGGCTCACATGATGAAAAGTACCCAATAAGCAAAAGGCCCTAAAGTAAAGAAACATTTTGTGAAAATCATTTGACAACAGTTCAACTTGTAGCTGGCAGCCACACTTTGCAGTCTTTACGCGTTCATGTGGTGTGAGTTGTATACAGTCATTATGGAGTCAGAAAATAAACCTTAAAAGCCATTTTCTGCACAAATCGTCTCGACAGCGCTCAGATGCTGGCACTGAAAGAGCAGACGCAATCAATCCAAGCCGGAGCATAGTGGGAAAAGCTATTTGAGCTGGTGCTGGAGCCCATTTGTAGCAGAAGGGTCTGTTTCTGTCAGCGCTCCTTATCATCCTGCCTGTTTGACCAGAGACAGACAGGAGCTGTAGCTGAGATATAGAGCCATGCAAACAACACCTTTATTCTCCTGGGCTTATCTAGCTGAGTCACATTGAGATCAAAAGTAAAACATTTGTTTATGCTGCGACAAATACAGCAAATACAACGAGATTTGTGTTATCATATACCATTCTGTGAACACACTTTTCTATAATGTTTTGGTGATATTTTAATTTATGATATTCTGGACCGTCTACAATAGGATTTGTTTTAATATAATATAAAAGTATGTTTTTTCGACGTACCATACTATGATGTTATTTATGATGTTTTGCACAAACAACTCAAACGTTTTTATCTGATATTTTTGACATGCTATATCTTTTCTAATATTTTATTAGACTTGCCTTTTTTCCAACATACCACACAATGACGTTTTTTTTGTCATACTGTACCATACTATTGTGTTTTTTGTGATACCTTCTATTTTTTTCAACATACTATACTGTACTATGACTTATTTCAAAAAAAATTCAACACATTTTATCATGTTGTTTTTTTCTGATATTTTCGACACACAACAGTCGGATTTAAACATCGTTTACTATTACGTTTTTCGACATTACACTGACATCTTTTCTGTTATTTTCGACATACTATACTATGACAATTCTTTCAACATCACATACTATGATTTTGTTCTGATATATTTTTAACATACTTTGGTATTTTTTCTGATATTTCCGACAAACTGAAGAAGGATTTGTTTTAACACAGTCTACTATTATGTTTATTTTTGACATACAATACTTTGAAGTTTTTTCAGATATGTTGACATACTATATACTACAACCTGAGAATTGTCCTATTTGGGAATTGATCATAGATATGAATTAAACACACCAAACATTTCAGAATGTGCTTTAACAAATAACAATATACAGCAGTGCTATGACATATTATACCACAACTTTTATGAATGATGACATTTGAATGATATTCCATACCATTGAAATTGGATTACTTTCCATGACATACTGTATTTTAGCTCTCAAGCTAGCCCCAAAACATTGTTATGGAGACATGCTGATTACATGTTACTTGTTAGACGCTTTTATCCAAAGCGACTTACATACTCAATACTGTGGACAATCCCCACAGGAGCAATTTAGGGTGAAGTGTCTCAGGGACACAACGACATGCTGACTGCAGTGGGGTTTGAACCTGTGCTCCCCTTGTCCCAACACCAAGGCTCTATCCACTGCGCCACACGCCTCCCTAGTCCCATGCAAGCTCAGTAACTTTAATTATTTTATCCTTACCACTTATCGCACAATCCCAACCCTTTTTATTTGCTTTCAACTAATCACACACTCCTTATCAGTGAGCGGAGGTTGCCCAGTGAAATGTAAACACATTATCTCCATGACAGCTGAGCAAACTCCATCCGATAGGGGAAAGTGTGCTGTGGTTTCAATCACAGGAAAATGTCCTTAAACTGGGATTGTTTTGTATGTTTTTTATATATTTCCAAAGTCAAGAATGCACTTTTAAGCATACCTTATTTGTTATATCAACCACCCAGCAATACATTTATCAGAATTTCTTATAATAAATTACAATCCTGAAAAACTAATTTCATTGTTCTCTTAGTCTCATGGCTCTCAGGCAAGATTTCCTAAGCATACTAAACAACAAGGACTGTCATTTACTCACAGAGAAGATGCTGTAGATTGACTTCATTTGTAACAATTTGGTCCATTGGTAGCAACAAATTGACACATTGGACTCTAGAGTCTCCCAACAGCAGTGGGCTGTCGTGTCGATACAGAGCGATTATCCTGTGGTGATGCACATTACACAGCAGCTGGGTCGTGGATGTTGAACTGGTTTGATGTTCAAATGTCCTTACATTTCAAACTTCTGCCTTCATTTGCCATTTGCTGCTGCCAGTGCGTGAAACCTCAAATGTTTAAAGGTCCCCTATTATACTGTTTTTCATCAATATGTTATAGGTCTCAGATATATACAAAACATGTCTCTGAAGTGTTTGGCTCCAAACACCAAACAGATCATTGGAGCATCCCATAATCCCCTCTGTTTCAGCCCTGTTTCCAAAGTGCTGATTCTCTGTCTGTTACTTAGATGAAAATAAGGAGCCCCTCCCCACGCCCCTCTGAGAGATATTTGGTTACAAAGAACACAATGGTACGGAGCCCTGGAGGGTTCATAGAGAGAAAAATAAATAAAACGTGGCCACGTTTTACTTTCTCGTGGGCACGCTTTAGTAACTCGTGCGCACGAGTTACTAAAGCGTGCGCACGAGTTACTAAAGCGTGCGCACGAGTTACTAAAGCGTGCGCACGAGTTACTAAAGCGTGCGCACGTTACTAAAGCGTGCGCACGAGTTACTAAAGCGTGCGCACGAGTTAATAAAGCGTGCGCACGAGTTACTAAAGCGTGCGCACGAGTTAATAAAGCATGGCCTCGTTTTGTGTGTGTGTGTGTGTGTGTGTGGGGGGGGGGGGCATTTGTTTATGATAGTATCGTTCGTTCCGGTGCACTCCGGCAGGACTATAGCACATCGAGATTAAGATTAAACACATTTCTTTCACTTGGGAATACACTTAACTATGGGGAACCAGATTTGTTTAAAGTACTGTTCGTGGTAATTTGAAAACAAATGCCGGTGGTGTCGGATACACACGAACATGCACACAGAGCGGAGCTGAGCACACACACACACATCATGCGCCCCGGTGACAGGACATCTCCTTCATAAAGCGAGGGGGAATACTCTGGTAGTTCGATGTGTGTATAGGTGTGTGTGGTTAAACGTAGCAGCCTCGATCTCTATTCAGCGGTTCTAATGAAGGGAAACGCAGTGAAGTAAACAGTAAAAGGCACAGCTCTTTGCAGCTGGTGCTGCTCTTCTCAGATTCTGCTGAGTTACACTTTACTGCCTCCAGTGCCCTGTACGACGAAGCCAGTTCAACAGACCCTGGACCAGGATATGTTCGATTTACCCGGCTTAACTGACCCTAACAAACGCGATGTCGATAAGCTGGTTATCAACTCAGTAAATCAACCAGGGTTTCTCTGTCCGGCTGAGAGCGCGCTCAGGTGAAAGGGACGGGGTTAGCAACATTTGACCACACAATCACAAACATGGAGATGCGTGCTGACAGCGCAGCATCATACTTCATGAATGAATAGTGTAAATAGCCAATCCTGCTTCGTAGTACAGGCCACTGGTGCCGCTGAGATTTCATAAAGTGAAGGAGGTTTTCCTTCGATAAAACAGCTGTGGGCAGCAGATACTGTGAGTCAAGGACAGGAATCCCTCAATTTAAATAAAACGAGGCCACGCTTTACGAGTTACTAAAGCGTGCGCACGAGAAAGTAAAACGTGGCCACGTTTTATTTATTTTTCTCTCTATGAACCCTCCAGGGCTCCGTACAATGGTGCTCTAGGAGGAGATTCAGGTGATAAGGGGGGGGGGGGGGGGGGGGTTACCTTGCTTGCTGATTGGCTAATGGTTATACGAGCCAAAAAATCGTTATGACATCATAAAGTGGCCAAAATCTGATCAGCTCATTTTCAGACAGGTTTTTATAAAAATGGATCAGGACAAAAAGGGAGCGAATATTTTTTCCTGATCCTTTCAGAATCTCTTTACACAGAGGGGACACATGTTTATGTATAAAAGACATGAACAAGTGGATTTTGCATAATAGATTACCTTTAAACCATAAACCTTCCTTTCTCTCTTTTCCCAGAGGCCCAATCCAGCGCCAACATGTTTGACTCCCTTTACATGGAGCTCTCAGCCTCCCTGGACCACGGGACCACGGAGCTGTTGGAGGCCGCCGTTCGGTCTGCGAGGGGTGACTGCGTGGGCCCCGGCTGGACCGACGGAGACCCCGGTTCAGCCCGGAGAGAGAGCCTGACCAGCAGGGCCAAGCGCTTCCTGTCGGGGCTGGTACCGCGCTCATACGGTCGGGACAGGGATCGGGATCGGGGGCGATACCGGGAGATGAGCCGCCACCGGGGCAGCAAGATCCTCCGACAGAAGTCTCGCTCCTGCCACGACCTCAGTGCACTGTGACACACACACACACACACACACACACACACACACACACACACACACACACACACACACACACACACACACACACACACACACACACACACACACACACACACACACACACATCACACACACACACACAACACACACACACACACACACACACACACACCACACACACACACACACACAACACACACACCACACACACACACACACACACACCACACACACCACACACACACACACACACACACACACACACACACACACACACACACACACACACACACACAACACTCCAATACATGCGCACACACCAGATTAGAGGAGATGGCAAAGTGTAAAAGATGGAGAAGATGACTGAATACAGGGACAATAAGGAGATGGAGACTAGTATTTGTGGGGAAATTGGAGGGGAAATTGAGCAATGGTGGTGTAGTAAAGTGGAGAGAAAATGGGAAAGAAGGTTTGATAGATAGAGCCGAAGATCGTAGCACTAAACCTTTAATCTTCTTCATCAGTGAAACCAATGTTACGATTTTTGCAAGAAAAATCAGATCAAATGATAAGGAGGTGAGCTTGATTTGCAGCTCCAGCTAAGGTGAATCAGTGAGCACTCATTACCTGATGAGAGCAGATTAGCGCCAGAAGAGAGAGTCACATCAAGAAGCTGATTGGACACTTACTGTGGCGGACTAGAAGGGATGGGGGAGGCACAAATAAACACACAAGTAGCACGCACTGATTATGTAGAGACTGATAGCAATCCAATGTATACCTATTGTGAACCTTGTTTTATAGCATGCCGAGTAGACGATCTAAGACATGACCCTGTAGGTTTTACAGTACCTGATACTGGGTTTACTGTACCTCAGTGGCCAATAGCTAATGCACAATCCAGCTAGTGTCTCTAGCAATGCCATCTTAAAGGCATAACCCTTTATTTAATAAGAAAAAAGAAGACCCCTTTCTGCGCATTTTTCTAGCCACAATTGTTACACTGCATCCATCTTGTGTGTCCCGTACCGATTTGGAAGTGTTTGATGATTCCAATGGCATACATTCATCTGTGATTTTTATACAAGGATAAAAACATCAGCGGCCAAGCCATATTTCCGCTGGATGCACCATGAGCGATCAGCACAAAGAACCCTTTACCCAAGGAAGTGGGGCGAAAGAAAAAAGGTCAAAATGGCTACAAAGAATAAGCGGCGTTGACCAGACTGAACTTTTCTTCAATAGACGCTGAGTCACTGAACGCTGGGATGTTCTTGAAGTAAGACAGACAAGAGACAACCTAATCTACCTGTGGCTGTTCAATGTTTTTCCTTTTTCTCTTTCTACCCACTGGCATTATTATGAGTGTTGAGATTGTATTATGTGGGGGCTGGCCACACAGGTGACCAACAAGGGAATGTTCTAGAAAGGTTTGGATAACTCGTCAAGCGTGGCAGCGTCACTGACACATGCTCACCGCTTGTCACAGTCAACTAGGCACTCTTGTCTTTCCACTGAAAATAAATTAATTTTTGTTTGACATCCTAATTGATTTCCTTGTCTTTTTTTTAAATTTTTTTTAAATAACAACAATATGAAATGAATGTCGTTTCTAGGAGGAGGGATTGCATGACAGGTCTTGACTCAGGTCCTCTCTAGAGACTTCAACACGACAGTTACTCCATTTATAACTAAACTGCAAAAACATGCAAGTCAGCACTTTGTAACAAAATCTCAGGTTGAAAATAGATTGAATCATGGCTTCAAGATATATGGAGAACGATCATTATGGGACATCTGTCAAGTTTCTTGCTTAATGAGAATGTACAAACTAAAATGTGTCTCCCGCTGATTCTCTACTGTCCTCAATGGCTGTCCGGGTACTGCAGATTTAATCAGCATGGTTCCTAAAATGATTATACTCTAATAAGTTCAATAAAAGTGTATGTGTAAATATAATAAACCACATTTCATATTCAATATTCCTCTTTTCAACGCAACCGTTAACTGCAATCGTAATGCATTAGTAAAAGGCAAAGTGAAAGACATGAACCTACAGCGAAATAGCGCCTGAATTTGCAGCGCATCTTGGCTTCATGGTAAAAGAGGGATTGTCAGCTCACTGTTTAGGTGTAGTTTACTTAAAACATTTGGTGGAGACAAACCAAAAGAGATTAAATATTGACTTACAATAAGGTGGCCAGAAACAGTACTCCAAATGAATGATCATTTTGCCAAGTGTGTTAATAAGCTAATGTTTGCTAACAAGCTAGCTGTATCATCTGTCATGATAGCCATTTGTCAATGTTCAGGTTGAAACTACAGCACAATGTATCCATTACGTCAGATCACCTTAGAAAGAGGTTAGAAAGTGAAGTAAGTATTTTGAAACATAATCTGTTTAACACCCGTTTGTGATAATGAATAAATGAAAGGGACCATCAGCTGGTTACAACACAAAGGTTACAAAAATGGTGTGAATAATTTCTCAATGAAAAGTCCATATAAAACAACATTTTTTAATGAAGCACAGTCAAAAACACTTTTTCTTTAGGATACAAGTTGTCTAACTACGATTAGGGTCAGGGTTAGCAAACGCTTATTTACACTAGCGCTGGTCAACATTATTGTTCTTTTTAAGTCTTGTTTCTGGCCACCTGATGAATTTAAGTCCAATATTTAATATATTTTAGTTTGTTTGGTCTCCAAGTCCAGAAAAAAAACGTACCCTAACCATATCAACTTATAAAGTAATTTGCCATTTGTCATTCTAATAAAAATGTATTGAGGCACGTTTAACCTACAACACATTTGATCCGTTTTTTTATACCACTTCAGTTAAGTAAGGATATTATGTTTCTTTGCGATTTTGGGTGAAATGTGCTTGCAGTAGGGTTGGGCTAGAAAACACTTAACCCTCTGAGACCCACATAGGACATTTCCGTTTTTGTATTTTTTTGTGTTTTGCCTAATAAATTGTCATTTCTTTGCAGTAAAATCAAGTTTTACACATCCCAGAAATCAGCACAACCTCAGCTAATGATATATGTCATACATTAGAGACTTATATACACTATAATAGGGGATATTTGCCCATAAATAAAAACTAACTAAAAAACGGAGCTTACATTTTTTACTTATTTCATTAAAAAGAACTGCTAACCATAACATTGAAAGAAACATTTAACACAGGAAATTGCACACATTTATTATCATTGTATCAGAACTGATTAGAAGATTCTAATTTATTCTGTTCATTAGTTATGCCCATTCTTTTGGACAGTGTCCATGGGCGTTTTTTAGTGAGGAATTGTCATTTTTTGTCCTGCCAATTTTGAAGAGTACACATGATATATATCCTGTCCACAATCACACATGGCATGCTGAGCAGATTCGTCTGAATTTTCATCAACATCGTCACCTTGAAAAATCTGCTCCAAAGCCTCAGCTGTAGTAAACGTCCTTGCCATACCTCAGTTTACTTTCAAAACACTAAAAGAACGTATTCCAACTTTTATTTTGTTTTCGCGCGTGGAATTATACCGGGGGGGTATACTACGAAGCAGGATTTTCGCTTAGCCGGCTAAATTCAGGGAAAACTCTGGCTTTCCGGTCCTACGAAGCTGGTTCTCTTTTTAGCAGGCTAGATCTCCATGGTAACTTATGCTTAGCGGCTAACCTGGTCGGGACCAGGTTAGGTTGCAGGCTAAGAGCTCAACTCAGTGAAAGCACTGCCTGCTGACCAGGGGCGTTGCCTGGACCTGGAAACATTCGGGGCTTAGCCCACAGTGGTGGCGCTACAGTCGAATTTTCTACTGCAAGACTCCCCACACGCACATACACAATTGCGCCATCTGGTGTCACAAACGTGTGCCTGCATTAGCTTTGTTACGGCAATGGATTGTGGGAGATTCTCATAGCACGTGAGGATTTCTTGAGGGTAAGGTGCCTGTATTATCTCGGTGGACAAAATGTATGTTTTTATTTTATAAGGACAATAACGTACTGTTGTGTTTGTTTAGTTTAATGTTAATTGTTTAATGCTCACAGTCACAGCAACATGTTTTTGTGTGATTGGTTTTATATGATTTATCAACGTGATCATCAATAGCTAATCTGAGCACCAGACCCCAGCTCACGTGTCGTTTTATGCTGTCCATTGAAATGCAGGAAAGTAATCACCAGCTCTGAGTGATCTGTTGCCGAGGGGACACTACACCGGAGTTACATAAGCAGAGATAAAGTGCTATTTTGAGGGAACTCACCTCCTCTGGGGTCCCCCAGGAAGAATTTTTTTAAATGTTGAAGTTAAAAGCATCAATCTTGTGCAATTTGAGAGCAACATTAAGAGATATGGATACATCTCTCAACACCCATATGTCAACAAAAATCAAAGAATCAGAATCAGAAACGGGTTTATTATTTAAAAACACTTTATTTTCCAATTAAATCATAAACTATGTCAAATTATTAGAAGTTGTTAGTAATCAGATTAAACAGAAAAAAGGGATGGAAGGAGGAAATAATAATCCCTCATCACTTGCTGTTTGCGGTTGAAATGATCTCTTTTGCTGGCCAAACATGCTGGATGTAAAGCAGTGATGTCTCACTTGCCTTGGCCCTGTATCTGCAGTCCCTAAATCAGTCATGTTACTCATTGACTCTTGTCTGTTCTGGTGTTCCTGTTCATTGTTGTCTCTATGGTCGTTCTTGTCTGTTGTATCTCCTTCTTGTGTGTCCCTTTCTCCTGTTCTCCTTTCTTCATCCTCTACTCTGTTTGGCTCATCTGTGATGACTGTGTAGGTAACACAAACAAGTATGTAAGTCAATCAGTTTCCAGCTCTGTCAAATAAATGAATTTCAAGATACACAAATTTGTCTTCATTAAAATGAGTGTCACCACACTGTCACAAAATGTAATACTAACCAATTGAAAATAGTTAAATGTACATCTCTTGTAGATATCACTGTTAGAGTAGTTATCTGCCAATAGGACATAATCATTCCTATACAAATGCAGTTTGAGTAATTCACTTAATATATTCACTTCATACTTTAATATAGTCATTTTTACTTGATACTCTAATATAGTCATCTTTCTGCATTCAAAACTA